AGTGTACGGGGACACCTTGTAAAGATATATAATAATTATTCTGAGTTAATCTCCAATATTTTATATTTTAAATTTTACTATATATTCGGATATTTCACGGGTTTATTTGACTTTTTGGTTTCTGACGTTTCTAATGCTAATACTTTCTTTTGCGTTTCTAATGCTGTACAGCAATCATGGTCACGGGAGAAATTTAGGTTTTGAAGTGCCAAAAGTCAAAGTTATTCCAGGCGGTGTTACCTACAATATTATACAATAACTAGGGACTCATCCTCGCTCCGCTAGGGGTTCGTTACTAGGAACGTTTCAACGGTTAGTATAGATTTCTCAGAGATGAGATATTTTCCCGAGTTGTAAAAATATCCTATATGTTGACCCATGACGACCCATAACCAGCTATCATCATACCAAATTTTATCAAAATCTGTCAAGTGGTTTTCTTGTGATGCGTTCCCAGACAGACAGACAGGTAAAAATTCTTAAAACTATAGATTCGGCCTCTCTATCTATAATAATGACTATATCATTTGCCTCATAATTTTTTGTTGTGTTATACAAAAAAATTTGTTTATTTTTAAATTGCTTAATGCTGTTAAATAACATGCGACTATATTCTAAAGTTCAGGTACTGCGTGGTTAGCCAAGGTTAAAAAAATATATTTTTTTACTACTTCCTTGTAAAATAATAATTATAAAAACATTCACACAGTAATATAACAATGGATGGGCTTGTTTGTTTGCATAAACAGTACTTATTACAAATAAGTCTAGAGGAACTCTATACCTATCGATTTAATTACCTTTTATGTTCCTCGATGTTTAGTGGTTCCAAAATTATTTGGTTTTAAAATAATAAATAGTGAAAACCATGTTTTTGACTAAGCTTCGCAAGCATCTAAAATGTAAATGTAGGGTGGACTCGATTTCCGCGCTTAAACTCTAGGTTGGTCCTTTGTGCGTTCGCAAGCCACAACAACTTATTTTTCAGATAATAGGAGTTTTAGTAAAATTGGTACATATATCAAAAAAACTAAACCGTAGTTTATTTTATAACCCTTTATCTAGGTTACCATAATACATGGTTCTATTTTAACTCTACGTAAATGCTTAGCATTTAGTACCAACAGTACTTGGTATCGTCAGCGTCTGTATTCTTCAAAAGACCAAAGAAAGGCACTTGGCGGCTTGGATATTTTTTGCATGGTGCCATTTATGACAGTGCCTAACTTAAAAAAGACGGTTTTTGTGGGCTGGATTCATTTTGCATAACTACGTCCAGATAAAACGTCTATTTGGAAATACCAGGGTATAATTTTAGATACTAAGTGCGTCGACCCCGGCAGTGTTGCGTAAATATACGTGGTGAATTGGGACGGGCGTTATTGTTGTTGGTGTATGGTGGCATGGGTTTAACGACAAAGTTTGAGTTAGTTTAAGCGAAATTTACCATAGATACACCATGAGTACTTTATTTTTTTTTAATTTCTGTTTGTTTTTGTAACACTGATTCGCCCACGCTTTGCTTTAATTAACTATATCAATATCATTTGTAAATAAATATGTAATATGGTAGGTATGTACATATAGAACTTATACTTCTATTAATATTAGGATTCTGATTAATCACGAAATCTCAGAAACTATATAAATGGTACAAACTTGGAATTTGGCAGGTTCAAAGAGAGAAGATATCCGTTACGAAACAATTTTTGAAATATAAAACTTGAAGTGGTAAAAAATGGGTTGGAAGTGTTACGTTTGTTATTGAAATGAAAAACGGCTGATGACTTTGGATGTATTTTTTATTTGCTTGTGGACACGACATATAATGTTACCAATCTGACAGCTAAGCGGGAGCAGGAAGTACGACAGTTGACAAGAATATAATAGACTATAAATGATATTTTTACTCTATGTAACATCTCCCTTTTTATAGAAAATTCCTTACCCTTTCTTCCCCCCTTTTTTTTAGGTAAGTACATTACAATTTTTTATTACAATTACTATTACAATTTTTTTTTTTTTTTTACTAAATAATTTTATAAAAACATTTAAAGTTACTTTAATTTGCAAAAGTTGTTGTCGTTTCCGAACGTTATTACATGACTTACATTATTCTGTGACATCTGTCATATCATATGTCATGTGACAATTTTCCTGTCAATGTCAAATGATCAAAATGAAATGTAAACAACTTCAGGTTTTTTTTCGCTTCCGTTTGTTGTGGTTGACACACGTGTAGTGAGATTTTCGGCCTTTCTTATAAGGATTCTTGTAATATAAAGTATTGAAATAGTTGGTTTTGTGCGTATTTGTGCGTTGTAGGTGGCGGTAAGTAGCTTTATTGTGTGTGTTGTGTGTATTTTAAATTAAGTTGTAGATTTAGTTTAGTATAATGGACGGTGACCCTCCTCCGGATCCACCGGACACTGGAGGTGGTCATGTTAGTTTGGTGGCAAGGCCTGTTACGCGTAAGAGGCCAGGTGAAATTAATGAGAATATAGAGAATACAAAAAAAACAATTACTGATCCTACTTCAGCCACTCCTTCCATACAAAATGTTTATGTCCACCCTAGTATGTCTGATGGTCTTAAATCCTATTCCAACGAAGACAAAGGTCCTTACATTGTTCATGTCTCACGGGAAGTTGCAGACCCAGCAGCAGGAACTACTATACGGGCTATTAAATTTGGTCAATTTTTACACCACAACAAAATTCAATCTATAGTTAATGATGGTGTTAAAAATGTTGGCCGGAATAAAATCTCTGTCCAATTTTCCTCTGCTCAGGCAGCAAATGAGTTTATAAGCAACCCTTTTTTATCTATGGCAAAATATGTAGCAATTATACCAACATATAATGTCACAAGAATGGGTCTTATTAAAGGTGTCCCAGTAGACTGGTCAATGGACGAACTGGTGGAGTCGTTAGAACTTCCTACTGGTTGTGGAGCAGTGATGAAAGCGCGACGCCTGAACCGAAAGAATGTCAATGAGGGTGTGATTACATGGGTTCCAACTCAATCTATTGTTATAACATTCCGTGGGCAAATGTTGCCTGAAAAAGTATATATCTACCACACATCCTTACCTGTTGAAACTTACAAGCTTCCTACCATTCAATGTCTTAACTGCTGTCGCTTTGGTCACATTAAATCCCAGTGTCGATCAAGGCCTAGATGTTACAGGTGTGCCCAACCACATACTGGGGATGCATGTGATATATCCAGAGATACCTTGACATGTTTATATTGTTCAGGCAAACATTTTGCCATAGATAAGGATTGTCCTGAGTTTTCTAGACAGCAATCTATCAAAATTATAATGTCGCAAGATAATGTTTCCTATATGGAAGCCTCTGCTCGCTTTCCTCCTGTCCAAAGATCCTACTCTGATGTAGCTAAGGAAATGTTTACCCCTCCTGCATATTCCATTACTCAAAGTTACTCACCTGTTACTTCTCCTTCACAAACTAAATCATACCGCCAAACTGTTGTCCGTCAACCACGTCCCAGGGCTCCTTTGGGCAAGGGATATGATAAAGAAGCACACCAAGCCATTACTGGCAATTGTTCTTCCTCTTTATCCAATGGTTGTGCTCTTAACAATAATGTTAATACCCCTTCAGATACCAAATCCCTCTTAGTTTCTCTTACAGAAACTTTAATTGGTATTATCTCAATGTGCGATGAACTCCCTTTACCGTCCAACGTTGCCCAAAAATTATTACACCTTTTCCAAATTATTAATAATGGCCCCACTCCACTTTCTACAATGGAACAGTAAAAGTATTAAAAATAAGAAACATGAACTATTTTCAATTATCAACCTGCATAAGCCTGTCATTATTGCCATCTCGGAGACATGGTTGTTGCCTAGTTCTCGGTTTCGAGTTACAGGTTTCACCTGTTTGAGGGATGACAGAAGTGATGGGTATGCAGGAAGTGCCATCCTTATACGGCACTCTACTCCTTTTTCCTCTATTCCTCTCCCCCCTCACAGCCAGCACATTAATGCTATTGCTGTGAGAGCCTTTGATATTTCATTCCTCTCACTCTATATTCCCCATCCTTCCCCTGCCCTTATTCCTGAGCTATATTCTATACTTACTGCCCTTCCCAGTCCATGTCTGGTAATGGGAGATTTTAACACTCATCATACCTTGTGGGGGTGCTATTACTGTGATGGAGTCTCTCCTTTGTTGGTTAATATGTTTGATGACCTGAACATGTGCATCCTAAATGATGGTTCTCCGACCAGAAGAGTTCACCCTAACCAAAACCCTAAGACCGCTGTGGACTTATCTTTATCCTCTCCCTCTCTTGCTTCCCAATTATCACGGACCACACTTCCATCCACCCATGGTAGTGACCACTTTCCTATCCTTATATCTATCCATAATAGAAATATATCGCTTCCAAACACCAAACCCTTACTTTCACATAACCTAAAGAAAGCAAATTGGGCAGATTTTGCCTGTTCAGTTGATTGTATGATTGAATCGCTTCCTGAGCTTGTTAATGGTGAGAATATCATTTTTTGTTACAACCAATTTGTTTTAGCTATTTTATTCTCTGCAGACCTTCATATTCCTAAAAAAGTCTCTTCAATCCATGGTGGGATCAGGAATGCACTGATGCTGTCAATAGTAGAATTTCTGCTGAAGTGTCATATGAGGCCTCTATGACAGGGGAGAATTTTATAAACTATCAGCAGAGTGATGCTAAGTTTAGGAGACTAGTTTCAAAAAAGAAAAGGTCAGGATGGATTAATTTCTGTGAGTCCCTGAATCCCCGTTGCCCATCCTCAACAGTTTGGACAAATGTTAAGAGATTTCGCAGGTCTCTTAATGATGTTCAACTCAATTCCAATAATCCATCCGATTGGCTTAATGACTTTGCAGATAAATTAGTTTGTCCCTAATTATGATTTTCCACCATCTCCCGCTTCTGGTGAACTGGACGCCTCTTTTTCCTTCGACGAACTCATCGTAGATTTACCAACCTTCTTTTAACTCCAAAGAACTGAACTGAACAACTTCAGGACGTATGAAAATTACAACTAACAAATCAACCTATTTTAAACTACATTAATTAAAGTTATACAAATATTTCACTAAATGCAATAAACAACACGTTTATGTTACAAACCCATACCTATTGACTGGTTTATAAACACGTCCATATCGAGATCTTGCCTTAGAATGCTGATGTATTTGTGAATCTAATACTGTGTTTGTGGGCTGATAAGGCTGTGTGGTGTGCTGCTCAGAGTTTGGTGTATGTACAGACTGTTTCAGGATAAACTGACGGTTTCTCCTGAACCTACCTTTTTCACTATCAATGGCATAGCTTCTAGGTGTGGGACCTACTTGAGAAATCACTCCGGGCAACCAATTTTTATCTTCAGGTTTGTGTTTGAAGAAGACTTTTTCACCTATAGTTAATGGTTTTAATATTTTTGTATGTTTGTTGTAATAAAATTTAGAATAAGACTTCTGTCTTTCATTTCTTTCCTGTACCTTTTTAACCTCACAAAGCCTAGGTTTTAAATTATATTTTACTGTAGGAATGATTGTACGTAGCTTTCTGGACATACTTAACTCAGCAGGTGAGTATTGACTTAGTTTAGGGGTATTTCTGTATAGTAATAATGCTAAATACATATCTGACTTATCTGTTTTACACTTTCTTAACATGTTTTTAACAGTTCCAATAGACCTTTCAACTAGACCATTGGACCTACTTAAATATGGACTTGAAGTTATGTGTTCTATATCCCATTCCTTAGTAAATAAACTAAATTCCTTACTATTGTACGGAGGACCGTTGTCCGAGATCAAAATCCGGCAGATACCATGTCTTGCCAGTATTGACTTTATTTGTGTTATCACTATACTAGCTGTGTATCCTGACCTTAACATGGCCAGCTCTATATACTTCGAGTAATAGTCTACAATAATTAAGTATTTTGTTTTTTCAAACTCAAAAATATCTACACCAACTTTGTACCATGGTATGTTTTCATACTCATGTTGGATAATAGGCTCTTTACTATTATTTCTACGAAAAGATAGACAAACATTACATTGACTTACATACTTTTCTATATCAGTATGCATATTTGGCCAGTAAACTGTAGTTTTAGCTAGACGAATAGACGCATTCACTCCTTGATGACCAGAATGAATTATTTGTAATATATAATCTCTCATTGACTCGGGTATTATAATGCAATTACACTTGAATACTATATTATTAATTACATATAATTGATCTTTTAGATTAAAATAATATTTGACTGACTGACTGACTGATCTTTTATGCTCAGGCCACCCATTTAAACAATATTGCATAATTTGACTCAAAGTTTGGTCTTTGACAGTATGCTCTTGTAACTCTTTTAACTTTTCAGGACTGACTGTTAAATTTGACATTATTAAATTGACATGTAGATCTATGTCTTGATCTACTTCTGACAAACAAGTTTCATTCAACGCTGCTCGGGACAGTGTATCTGCAATGTATAGGTACTTGCCTGGTTTATATACTACATTTAAATTATATGGCTGTAATCTTAGCATAATTCTTTGCAATCTTGGAGGTATATCATATAGTGCTTTTTTAAATAACGTTATAAGGGGTTTGTGGTCGGTTTCCACTGTTACCCACTGACCATATATGTATTGATGGTACTTGGTACAACCAAAAAGTACTGCAAGCAGTTCTTTCTCTATTTGTGAGTATGATTGCTGACATTTTGTTAGTGACGCTGATGCATATGCAATTGGTTGCTTGTCATGTGACAAAACTGCACCCATAGCATCTTTTGATGAATCTACAGACAAAATTAGTTCTCTGTTAGGATCATAATATGTTAAGACTGGTGTAGAGCTAATTATCTTTTTAATGTTATTAAATTGAGCTTCATGGTGATCTGACCAACACCATACAGTATCTTTTGACAAAAGAGTTCTTAAATGACTAATTTCCTGTGACAAATTTTTTATAAAAGGACCGAGATAGTTGACCATACCAAGAAATCTTTGTAATTCTGTAATATTCTTTGGACTCTGCATATTGCAAATAGCTTCTACTTTTGACTTATTGACTTGTACTCCTGCCTTACTGAATATATGACCTAAATATTTTACTTGTTCTTGACAAAAGACTGATTTTTCTTTATTAAATCTTAAGTTAATTTGACGTGCCCTTTGTAAAACCTTTTGTAACCGTTCATTATGCTCTTCTATAGTCCTACCATAAATAAGAAAATCGTCCATCATGATTTTGACACCATCAATATCACCAAATCTTTTTACCATTTCTCTGTGAAATATCTCTGGAGCTGCATTGATACCGAAAGGTAATCTAGTGAACCTATACCGTCCAAAGGGTGTAATAAATGTACATAGCTTTGAAGAAGCTTCTGTTAATTTTAACATCCAATAACCTTTATTGGCATCTAATGTTGTGAAATATTGAGCTCCGGCAAGGCTTGATTTAATTTCATCTATAGTTGGAAATTGAAAATGAGATCTTAATATTGACTGATTTAGTTTTCTCGGGTCAATACACAAACGTAATTTACCATTCTTTTTTGAACTTAAGACTAGTGCACTTACCCATTCCGTAGGCTCTTCGACTCTTTGAATAACTCCACTTTGCTCCATGGCTTCCAGCTCTTGCTTTAGTGGTTGTTGTAGTTGGAATGGTACCCTTCTGCACGCCTCTATAAACGGGGTTGCATTGGGTTTCAAGGTTAACTCACAGTAAAAATCTGCAAGACAACCTAGCCCTTCAAATAAGTCTGCATTTGACTTAACTATGTCTTGACAGTTTATCTGGAAGGACACACTATTTACTTTTTTGACTAGATTTAATGACCTACATGTGTCTCTGCCTATTATATTTTGGCATTTTATGTCTACTATATGAAATTTAACTGTATAACATTGTCTTTTGTATGTAATTGGCAACTGACATTGACCTACTAGAGGTATAACCTCTCCACTGAATGTAGATAGTTTATTGGGACTTCTGCAGATAGTATCATGCGACATGTTTAGTGTGTTAAATGTGTGTATGGATATTATGTTTGTGTCTGCACCTGTATCTAGGATAAAATTCACATTAACATGGTTAATCAATATATCAACATTCCATGGCTTCGACTCATTATTTTGAATACAATAAATAGACCCAACATACAAGGAATTATTATTATTATTTTCTAACATATTTGTTTCTTCACATTGGACACGTTTTATTAGTTTAGACCTACAGAAATGAACAAAATGGTTGAATTTTTTACATTTTCGACACTGAGTACCTTTTGCAGGACACTTGTACCTGTGCACTTGTCCACACCTATCACATGTGTTCCTTGAATTTGATGTGTTTGATGCTGAACGTTGGTACCTTGTTGTGCTCCTTGGTATTGCTGCTTCACGACGGGATGGGGATCTTGAGACTCTTCCTATAAAGTGTAGTGATGCATCCTCCAAAGCTTTAGTTTGCTGCTTGGTTGCTTCACACCTTTTGGCTATATTGATAGCCTCATCTAGCGTCTTGGGTTTTTCTATCAAAATTCTTTCTTTATAGTATGGATTGTTACAGTTCCAGCTGAAAATATCTTTTAATAAATCCTCCCTGAGTGCTCCAAACTCACAAGAGTGACTGATGTTCTTTATATCTGTGACATATGTGTCGATTGACTCATTTGGTGCCTGTTTCCTACTAAAAAGTTTGTGACGTTCGACTGTAATGTTAATCTTAGGTGTGAAATAATTGTCAAATTTATTGCATAGATCATCGAAAGACAAGTCGTCCAGGTCTAGGCCAAAAGAATAGTAGATCTCGAGTGCCTCCGACCCTATGAAATTAAGGAGAATCGCTACCTTTCTACTGTCTGTTTCGTCTTCTAAATTGTTGGCTCTTAGGTAGACTTTTAGTTTAGTAAGCCACTTCTTCCAAGCTAAAGGTAAGTTATTCGACGTTAAGTCGATCGGCGCTAATGTAATTGTCATCGGCAACATGTCTGACTTAGTGGACTTACGTGTTTTGATTCGCGGCTGCGTGTTTACAAATTCTTCTGTATTCGACATCTTCTATTTCCAATGCACTTCTGACACCATGTTACGTTTGTTATTGAAATGAAAAACGGCTGATGACTTTGGATGTATTTTTTATTTGCTTGTGGACACGACATATAATGTTACCAATCTGACAGCTAAGCGGGAGCAGGAAGTACGACAGTTGACAAGAATATAATAGACTATAAATGATATTTTTACTCTATGTAACAGGAAGTTTATACGAAAATCTGTGATTTTTTTATTTTTAAACAACTCGGGTAGAGAAGTAGGCATGTTCTAGTCTATACATATAATAAAATTCTAACTAAGGCAAATCTGTACATTAAATATTTTTCGGCAAATCTGATTGAAATAAACATTATTATCGACACAGGGGGTGCACGAAAGGAGCCTCCCCGAGCAACGTACACAACCTATACGTCAGGCGCACCCTGGGCAATCACAAATTTATTAACGCTGATTGGCTAATCCTTTCACCACGATGACATACTTGCCATCGACACGAGAAGAAGAAGAAGATCGACACAGAGTCTGAATCTATAGTTTTTAGAATTTTTGTCTGTCTGTCCTGTGTGTCTGTCTGTTACCGCATCACAGAAAAACCACTGGAGGCATTTAGATGAAATTAGGTATGGTGATAGCTTGTTATCCGGGTCAACATATAGAATACTTTTTACCGCGGGAAAATGTCTCATTTCTGAGAAAAAATACAAAAACTGCAATGTAAGAGTACCTATACTAATATGTAAAACCTAAGAATTTGGTTTTTGGTCATCTGAACGCGGGCGGAGCCGCGGGCAATGTTAGTATTACTATATAATTAGCATTAAGTTAATTTATTAACAACGGAAATATAAATTAATTTTAAATTTTCGTAGATTATTTTAAAGTACAGGCGATAAGACAAATTTTTACTGCGTGCGATGATTTCATAACTCAACTATTATTCCAGACACGTTTTGAGAACATACACGTGTTTATATAAAATGGTCTTAGGCCACGTGTTTGGACACAAATACGTAGTGTTTAATCACCTTCTATATTTCACATGATGAATGCCTATATAATGTATTAGTGAGCTATCGTGTATTCATCCCTTTTTACCCGACTGCACGATATAAATGAGGGTAATGAATTTATCAGTTTATGTATGTATGTTTGTTTGTTCCTATGTGGCGTCCTAGAGACCAAACGTGTGAGCCGATTTTGATGATTTGATTTTTTTGATCATACGTCGTTAGTATTATTCCTCAGTATGAGACTAAACTACCTATACATCTTAGAATAACCATCAAATATGTATATATAAATATATATAATAAGATAAAGCAATCTGTACTGTAATTACGAATATCGCGGAAATTCATTAAATTTCATGGTCATTTCATAAATGTAAACGGAAATATGGACTTGATAAATAATATAAACTATACCATACTGATGAAACTGGTACTTCGGTACCTATTAATATTTGTTTTTTTTAAACCAAGAGTAAAAATTCTAGGTTTAAAAATAAATGACATTTCGACTTTAGAATGTGCAACATTTTTTAAACCTACCTAAACCGATTTTAATTTAGTTTTTTTTTGTTTGAAAAGTGACTCGATCGTGTGTTTTTAGTTAGAAATCAAGAAAATCCGTTCAGAGGTTTGCAGACTATTAGCTCTTTTCGAGACGGTAAAAGGATATGAACAACTTTCATAGATCTAATCAATTCGAAACTTAGGTATTACATGAAGTAACCTAGGCCTGTTGATGCAGAGTCAAGTGTCATAGAACTAAATATGACGCCAAACAATAATGTTTTAAAATAGTATACAAATATTAATAGAATACTCATTACTGTGATAACTAAATAAATAAAATAAAAAATAAATAAAGTTTTATTTTAATACAGAAAAAAATAAGCTACCATCATGCTATCTCCCTTTTAAGGGGAAAAGAACTAATGCTAAAAAAATACAGAAGAATAGAATTATTTTTATTATTCAAATTTCTTCTTAAAAATTGTAAATTATCGACTAATTAATGCCTATAAAATTTCCTTTATCCTTTAAAGAAAGTGTATAATCTGTATGGTAAAATCGATAATACCAGCATAAAAAGCAAATCACGCTACTATTTTTGACTTTGACATTTTTTTTGGCAAAATCCGTGTATATAATTCTTTAGTCTGAGAGTTTGGTAAATGAATATTTATTATCTGTATTTCATTAATATTCTTTTGACTAAAAACACTGTATCAATTGATACGCTAATTTACAGGAACGATTAATCGATGTTTGTTATCATAATAAGTCGATTAAAAATACATGAGTGGGCGATTGTTTTGAATTAATATGCAGATGCTGCTCTCGGTCCGACTACGGGTATCTCTACCGTGGTTGTGGGAACCGCCCTGAACACGTGGTAGCAGTTTCTGTGATGTGAAATTTATTTACGATTTTTTTTAATGTTGCGTGAAACATAGAAATATCCGGAGCTCCATAAAGTAGAGATTATGCTGCTGTTGTTGTTGTGGGTAGCATGTATACTACTACTAGGGATTCGAGTCCCGGGTTGGGCCAAATCAGTTATAGGGTTTCTCTGTCTTGATATACTTAGTAGCTGTCCGGGATTGGGTAGTCGGTGGTGTGTAGCCCTGCGTCTAAGAACATGCTAAGCGTCGAAGTCGAACGTTAAAAGGAAATGAGAGTGCTCTTGTGTTTGTGGACTGGTCTTAGTTAGATTGGTCGTCTTATCTAAAATCTTTTAGGATGATATAATTGTTACTTTTTTTTAGTTAAATGGGTTATAAATTTTTTTTATCCATCTCTTTCCAGACACCACGAGCGGCGGTTGCCGTCGCTAGTACAATGCGTTCACTGCTAGCGTACTACGCTGAAGCGGTCATGTCAGCGGTAGCACGGGAGGCTGGGTGCGCGGGCGGGTGCAACGGCCACGGGGACTGCATGAACGGCACCTGCCTCTGTGAGATACGATACTCGGGAGATGAGTGTGCCGGACCCAACATGCCGTACCATGCGTGTAAGTGGAGGAAATATTTTTGAAGAGAAACTTCTTTAGAAACGATGTGATTTAAAACTCTATGAAACGGAAATGCGCCATTATACAGAGACAAACACTAAATAGGATATATATATATATATATATATATATATATATAAACTATATAGGATAAAGCCGGCGAGAGAATGAGATAGAATATATAACCATATTGCCATGGTAACCGTTGTTATTATCTGACAAGTATGTAATATTAAGTTTCACTTCTACCAAGTGTAAATTTCACAATCACGCACTTTTTTAAAATAAAGACTTACCCTCTTAATAGCCTATGTATTACTCCAGATCGAGGTCTATCTGTGTATTAAATTTCATCCAAATTCGTTTAGCCGTTATAGCGTGAAGAAGTAATGAACTTTCGATTTGAACACTCGCGTGTAACGATAAAAATAGCATGTCGCTTTTATTGCGAAATCTACTCAACATTTTAGTAATTTCTCCTATAATTTAGTGATTTTAATGGCTTTGTACTACATAGAAAGATTTTTCATTTTTTATGTATGTAGTTTATCCAGATTATACTAGGTATCTATACAGGACTCTAATTCACGAACCTTTTTTTATACCATTATTCCCTCGGATGCGTCCCTAGGTTCGTTTTAAATGGATAGAAATAGTTTTTTTGTTATTTTTCTAGTACATTGTTTTGATGTTTGTATTAAGGACAACTCGACCAAAACAGTTATTGTGATTTGCCGTCTGAATGAGATATTTTCCTGTAGTAAAAATTATTCTTAATTGTGGACCCGTGTAATATAATTATCACTGAACAAAAAATTTAAGATCTGTTAACGTAAAAGGCAATAAATATTCAGACAAACAGACATACCTACAGACAAAAAATCCAACAATTAGTTTTTTGTGTTCTATATTCTGTTTTTATAATATTTCATATACAGATTTTACTTTGTTGCTGTTTTATTATTATAGTATGTATAGATTAGTTCTCTTGTGCTGGAGAGAAGCGTGACCTTAACCTACATTTATATGTATGGTTGCGCAAACAAAACACTACTTATTGATATTATACTCTATACATACGTTTTGTTTATGACATTATTATTAGTAATTGTGGTATTTAGCAATGGAATGTCCGATATGAAGTATTGCGTCTTATTTTTTACCAAGTTTTAAATGAGAATGTATTGACGGTTGCGGTTTTTATGACGGTATGTAAATTATTTTTTGGTTTATATGTTTACGTGATATCTCCGCTAATTGTAATATTTTTTGATAATTCTTTTTTTTTAATGAAAGTTATAAGGGTAGATTAAAAAAAAACCTTAATAGTGTAATAGTAATTTTAATAGTAGTAATTTTTAGTACTTGATTTTTAAGCCTGTTTACCCTTTCTTAGGTAAAAAGTATCTTCATTATTCCAAATAGAGTTTTATTATCATTTGACACGTATTCACAATGTCTAATTTTCGTAACTTTTATCACGGGCGCTAGCAAAAACAAGGGTTTAGGCTTTATTTCGATGTACTAAACTGATTCGAATGCTGAAAACTGAACATGAAAGTTAACAATCGTTGCAATTAATTATATTCATGGACACAGCGTAGTAAACAAGGTATAATCTTAAACCAATTTCGATCTAGGGTCACTACGACTAAGAGTACCTGGTAATGAAGTCCGCGAACCCGCACTTGGCCAGCGTGGTGGACTATGGCCTGATCCCCCCTCGTACTGAAGGGAGGCCCGTGCCCAGCAGTGGGACGGTAAAAAGGGCTGAATGCCTGAATACATACACGAGCACATGAAAGAGCTATACTAATCGATTAATAACAATGATATAATTAATAATATGTGAGATTAATAAAAAACAAAAAAATGTGTGTGCAAATAGAAGTGCACTCTTTGACATATTCTTTTACTTTTTATAGTTCGGTGGGACGGATCCGATACGATCGGGGAGAGTTCAGGCTAGGATCAATGACATTACCAGCATTTTTAAAGACACGTGGGTATAATACCGCCCACTTCTCGAATACGAATTGCTACGAAGGAATTTTTGAACCTTAAAAATTTATTCTTGGTGCGAAATGGGACTCGAACCCAGTACTTAAGCTCATGTAACTACTCATGCTAGTTATTTGACAAACGATAATATAAAACACTATTATAGAAAAAATAAACGATACTTGAGTGTTATATAAATGTAAAAAGTACAAAAACCTTCACCTTTATTCTGCAGTATGGTAATTGCTATGCGTCAGTGACATTTTTGTAGTTTGCGTTTTTCTTTTATTTACCCATTCGTATAGCATTAGAATTAATGGTATTTTGATTACATTTTTTTTATTAAAGTAGCAAAAAATTGATCACTAGTATTGAGTAAAGTGGACCCACCTAATCACTCTAATATACCTCACAATACACAACCAAACATACATCTATACATATAATAAAATTTTACTTAGCCGAATCTGTACATTAAATATTTTTTGGAAAATCTTATTGAAATATATATTATTATCGATACAGAGACCGAATCTATAGTTTTTAGAATTTTTGTTTGTCTGTCTGTTACCGCATCACAAAAAACCACTGGAGGGATTTTGATGAAATTTGGTATGGTGATAGCTGGTTATCCGGGTCAACATATAGGATACATTTTACCGCAGGAAAATATCTCATTTTTGAGAAATCTATACTAAACTTTAAAACGTAATTAGGGACGAACCCGAGCGGAGCGAGGTTGAGTTGCTAGTCAAAATAAATAAAAATGAACCTCTCTTTGTATATATGTACTCAATGCCTTCATAATCTCTTTGCATAAACTATTCGTCCGATTTTGATGAAACTTTGGTCAATTGTTCTGCGTACACCGGAGAAGATTCTTGGCTCAAAAAATAGGTTTTTATTTATATTATGTTTGTCCTATAAACGTTCCTATTACTAAGCCGGTAGTATTATATACATATATGTATGTACATACATACATATGTATATTACAGTGGTACCCAGTACCTAAATATTCATATTTTTTGTCCCGTAGTGGACAGGTTGTCGTTTATTTTGTTATTTTAACACCTCGAGGTAAATTTCTATATCATTATTAAATTTCTAAGAAATGTATTGTTAACTGTAACGCTGGCGTGTCCGCGGTCGTGGAGGGATTAATATCAATTTGCGCATATTACGGTAATTTTTGCTTATGGTACGTTAACTTTTGAAGGCCATTGTACGGAACAGAACTCGATGGTATTTTATACATGATGGATTGCGTTTTCGAAATATTATATTATATAAGAAGAGAAAATGTATATTGTTTTATAATTTAACACTTATGATATTGGGGGTTCTGGGTTTGAAATAAAAAAAGGCTCCAGAGGCCGCGTCCATATACTAAACTGCAGAATAAAACCTTAAAATCAGTTCAGCCCAGGCCAAATTAGTTAAGCCTAAAATATTTAGGCTAAACTAGATTGTCCTGGGCTAAACTAGTAGTATATTCTGACATACTTTGGATGAACCTTTTTGTCCTAGGAAGAACCAGTTTGGCCTGAAATCGGGTTTTACCGGTAACATATATAAATTGTATTACACCTCCAGGTAAATTTCTAAAAAAATAATTAAATTTCTAAGAAATCTATCGTTAACTGTAACGCCGGCGTGTCTGAGAGAATCTTATCAAGTTTTCGAAAGACATGTGCAGTCCGTCAACCCGCACTTGGCTAGCGTGTTGGACTATGGCTTGATCCCCCTCGTTTTGAAGGGAGGCCCGTGCCCAGCAGTGGAACTTTAAAAAGGGCTGAAATACAATACAAATCATTTACAATTTTTAATATTAATATCTTCTTTTCGTCTATTCCAGGTATTGGTGGGGTATTCCTTCTAGTGGCTTTCGTGTGCGCAGTGCAATTGATAATATGCATAGTGACAGAGTACAGAAGGCTCAAAGCGCCTACATTCCTAAAAGCGTGTAAAGTGACGACGCAGAAGATGCTATACCTTGTAGCATTCCTCGCTTCGCTCATTCGCGGTGCTTACTTTGTATCGCCGGTGAGTTTTTTTGCTTGAAATTTGGTTGTTGTATGAAGAGTGGATGGTTGATTTATAGATCATTAAGATGATAGATCCCAATAATGTGTCTAGATATGGTTGTGCTTGTGTAAAATAATTTGTATTGTGATTATATCAATTTAGTATCTCTAGTAAGGATTTTACAAAAAAATATCTAATGTGCAGATTCGTTTCGAAATTTTACTATATATGTATATATTGGGCACCGGCGTTAAAGGATGCATGTTGAGTGACTGCCGTCCAAGATCATTATTGGCTTAAACAAATATCTGTTAAATCAGCGCCATACAACACACGCGAACATAGATTAGTTTCTGTTCCGTACGGGAATCGAACACATTACTTCTGTCATTAATTACTACTTATTATTTAAATACGAGTTCACTAGTAAGGTGCAAACAGACATACAGACTATCTTTTATGGATGGATAAGGGTATTCAAGATTGTGTATACTGTATGCATAAGAAATCAAATGATGTTTTATGATGATAAGCTGCATAATGCTTATTTATCAATTTTCTTCTATTTTATCTTTGCATTCTTATCTTATTTTGTACTTTTTATTTTTTATTACCTTATATACATAGAATTAAATCAAAATTTAAAATAATTTAGTTCCTACCTGCAGTTTTACTGCGTCTTTTCTTTTAAAATAATGCGGTTCCTGGAAAGTGCCATATATTTATATTTTCAGAACTAAAGTTGTAAAATTTGTCATAGTAAAAAGAAAAAAGTTCTTGTAAAAGTTAGTGTATCTGAGTGTCAAATTTCAAACAATTCGCTCAACATATTACGTAAAATTTGCGATAATAATGAAAACATTTTCACAAACTGTAGCTTTTATAATACTAAAATAATAAACAGATAGTTTCTATTTGCAGCAATTTAATATGTAATTCAATTTTTGTTACCAGTCAGCATTCCAAGAAGGGTGGGCGACGAGCCTGCTATCCGCGTACTATCCTCTCTTGATGTCGGGATCATCCCTCATCGTCTGTTTTTGGGCGGAGGTAAGCTTTTTAAATATGTTGTATATTAGCTTTATAAGCTTTAATAATATTTTGCAGTAGATAAGGTTTTTTTTTATTTACGAACATTTAAAATATTTATTTTTGGCTTAGTGATGAGTTGCTTCTTTTAAGGTTTACCAAAATAACCTCTGTAGAAGAAAAGGATACCGCGTAAGATACGAAAGGAAATAGCCTAAGAATCTACAACTTATTGTTAGTGTTTATAACTTATTGTTAGTGCTTGGTTCTATGTGTGGTGGTATGGTAGGTTAATTACATCCTGAAAAGTGTGCAATTCAATAATCTGCCGATTTGCACTAGCTGAAGAGACAAAAATCAACATAAAAAGTATATTTCTACCTTATGAAAATATTTTTTAAACACAAAGAAAGATACATGCGGCATTCGGTCCCTCTGTCATTATTATGGCTTTGCGCACCCATGTTTAACCAACTTTCCAAAAGCTGGAGGTTATATGTTCGCCTTTGTGTATTTTTTTATAACTGCTTCGGTGGTGTAGGGGCTAGCATATACGGCTACACATTCGTAGGTCCTGGGTTTGAGTCCGAGTCAGGCTAAGCTTAGTTATTGAGTCTTTCTATTAAGGAAGTCCCGGTTACAGCCCGGAGTTGGGAAGTTGGCGGTATTTTACCCCCATGCCTCGGAGAGCATGTGTCGCGCGCTCCTCAACCTGATCTCTCATCCGAATCCCATCCGAATTTAAAAGTAACAGGAATAGAGAGTGCACTTGTGCCTGTGCGTACACTTGTGCACTATAATATCTCCTGTACATTTGGTTAGTCTCAATGAGATTGGCCGCCGTGGCCGATATCGGTCGAAAAGAAAGGAAATCATTGTCATTTTTTCCTTTACAAATTACAAGACGTCATATTTTTTTAATTTCTCTCTTTTTATCGTACTCTAACACAAACGACACGTTTCATTCAGTTTGTAGTGAACCTACTTGCTGTGCCACCGGTCGCGGGTTTGAGTCCCGCTGCGGGCATTCATTTGTATGATGAGCACAAATGCCTTTACTCCAGTCATGGGTATTTATAGTTTTAATATGTATGTATTTAAAGTTATATATAGGTAGTGTATCAACTGTCTGGTATCCATAACACAAGCCTCGTAGCTTGCCATGGAACTAGATGGTGCTGTGTGTTAATGTTTTTTTTAGATTATTAGCGCCTTCAAATATATAACTATTTAAACATCTTGTAAGTTTCTATATTTGTATCAGAAGTAAACTGGAAAGTCTGACAAAAATTAATCTACGCTATATTTTTACGAATTTAATGGATAGCTGTTTCTCTCTTTGTTCTGTTTAAATAAATATTGCATCGAAATATATATGTTAATTCAGGTCATCGTCCAACCTAATTAAAATTGGCATTTAAATAGTTTGTAGGCGATTAGTTAGCGTTAGAGTGATTAAGACTAATGTGCGTTAACTAAATGTGTGAACGGAGCTTTTATTGGCTTTGAGAACAATGAACTCTATTAAAAATGTACCTACTGGACTTATTCTGTACCTACTAGAGACTCACCGTCGCTCCGCTCGGATTCGTCCCTCAAATTACGTTTTAACGTTTAGTATAGAGTTCTCAGAGATGAGATATTTTCCCGCAGTAAAAAGTATCGATATGTTGACCCGAATAACCAGCTATTATCATAACAAATTTCATCAAAATCCCTCCAATGGTTTTTCCGTGATGGGTGCACAGATAGACAGACAAAAAGTCTAAAAACTAGAATCGGCCTCTGTATCGATAATAATGTCTATTTCAATAAGATTTTCCAAAAAATATGTAATGTACAGATTCGGCTTAATTATAATTTTATTATATTTATAGATATTGTATCCTTAGACTAGGGAATAATATTGATAAGTATTACAAAACATATTTATAACAGTTCATTCGCACTGTTATATGTTAATTGTATGTAGAAATAATTGTATGTAGATAAGATTGCTGACTAAATCCCCTTAGGATTTAATGTAACATCTCTGTAGCATAGTTTAGTCAGTCCAATTCAATTCTCGTCTCTTCGTCGTCTCGAACACATCCCCTTAATTCTATTTCTATATAAAGTGTTTATTTAAAGTGTTTAATTTGTAATTCTATTTCATGATTCTATTTCAAATAAATATAAATAAATAAATATGTTTTGACATTAACACAGCACCATCTAGTTCCATGGTAAGTTACGAGACTTGTGTTATGGATACCAGATAGTTGATACACTACACATAACTTTAAATACATACATATTATAAATATAAACACCCATGACTGGAGTACAAACATTCGTATTCATCACACAAAATGAATGCCCCCTAGCGGGACTCAAACCCGCGACCGCTAAGGCAGCAAGTAGGGTCACTACAAACTGAGCCAAACGTGTCGTTAAAATTTATTACAAAATATGTCAAAAATTACATAAAACTTTGAGTATAATAGAATAAAAAGTGTTTCAAAAGAAAACAATATCGAATGTGCATATTATAAGGCGAACGCGATAAACAATAGCATTCCCAAGGAGGGTTGATGTCAGGAAGGCGGCCGGTCGTAAGACTTTTGCCAAATCCTATCAGCAGTATAGAAGATGTACAGTGCCAACCCCCAAGTGATTGGGAAATGGGCAGGGAGATGATGATGATGAAGTTTTTCTTTTTTTTAAAAGTAACTTTCAAAGCCCCGTATAGCAGAACGATTACTATATGCGTAATAAAATGTGATGTCATATGGTTAAAATGATAGATTTTTTTCAAACAACAACAGATAAGCGATGACGTTTGTCACATGTATATTACATAACAACTGTGACTCACTTTAATTAATTAATAATATTATATAATTAAAACACACAGCGCCATCTGTTGTGATCTATAAGAACTATTGCTATACATATAGCACTGTGATATATTGTAAGCTAATCGCGTCGTATCGAAGTTAATCAGGAGTCGGCTAGATGGCGTTAATGTTTAAAAAGGTACAAAATAATTTTAATTTAGTGATTAGGGTTTCATTAACAATAAATAAAGCGTTTAAGTGTTTTTATATCTTATAGATTGTTATTATTATTATTAATTTATCTATACATATAATAAAATTTTAACCAAGCCAAATCTGTACCTACATTAAATATTTTGTGAAAAATCTTATTGAACTAGACATTATTATCGATACAGAGGCCGAATCTATAGTTTTTAGAATTTTTATCTGTCTGTCTATTTGTCTGTGACCGCATCACAAAAAAACCACTGGACAGATTTTGATGAAATTTGGTATGTTGATTGCTAGTTATCCGGGTCAACATACAGGATACTTTTATACTTATAAAATACTTGGAAAAATTAAAGATACGGTTTATCTATCTTAAATAAAACTGTCTTTACGGGTGATACTCCCGTGACCATGATTTACACGTGATTACCAGGTAAGCATCCGAAGTGTTGGGAAACAAAAATCAAAATAAATCCGGGGAATATATGTATATATATATATTTAAATGCTTAGTAAATATTCGCGCAAAGTTGTTCAATTATAAGGCTTATAAAAATTCTTTATAACTATAATTTTGGCAAATAACTAAAGCTGCAGATTATGCACTTCACTGACGGCAATATCTCGTTTTTTTAAATTAATCACAATAATAAGAATGGCAGACGTTTAAAATACATTCAGTGCCAGATTAAGGTGATGTTTCTCAGAAATATAATATGGATGCGGTGCGGTTATTTTACAAATAAAGCAATATCTCGCATACCGACGGGCCCACTGTGTTGTTGAATTTTGATCCACCTCACTGAGAAATCTTAGCGATTATAAACATCATCTTAAAATGAATCTTTTATTCAATGATTATTATGCTATAATTTTAAAAAAACCCATAATCAGTAGTAAAGTTTTTTTTTATTTATTTGATGCCATTGATCACTGAATCCTGAATCCACCTTTACAAAATAACTCAATTTATTCTAATATTATAAAGAGAGACAATTTGTTTATTTGTTTGTTTGTTTGTTTGTTTGTTTGTATCGAATGGGCTCCGAAACTACCAAACCGATTTAGATGAAATTTGGAAAGAAGATAGTTTGATACTTCCCTGAGGGAAAGGACATAGGATAATTTTTATCCCGGAAATCATCTCTTAAGGGGGTAAAAATAGGAGTGAAAGTTTGTATGGAGAAGCAACCTACAAGCTAGTGATCATACATATAAATATCCTGCATGTTTCATTTGCGGATTGTCATAATTCATGATTATTTATGAATATTTTAAAACTTATAACAAACACAAAAAAATCTCTCGATCAGCTTATTTTTTTTAATTAAATTTAAAATTAAAACTTTATATAAATTAACCTTATACTTTTAATTATAAGATAATCGGATTATTATTATAAATGCGTTTCACGTTGAAACGGCTGAAACAATTTGGATGAAAACACACACACACAGACTATTGTTAGGTACTCAGGGATGCACCCGAGTGAAGCCAGAATAAATAACTAGTACAATAAATGTACTTTTGTTTTTATTTTGACTTAATGTTAAATTTCAGTATTTGGGTATATCATTGAAATTTGACACGTTTGGCCCAGTTTGTAGTGACCCTACTTGCTGTGCCAGAGGTCGCGGGTTCAAGTCCCGCTTGGGTGGGACATTCATTTGTGTGATGAGCATGAATGTTTGTACTCCAGTCATGTGTGTTTATATTTATAATATGTATGTATTTAAAGTTATATATGTGTAGTGTATCGACCATCTGGTATCCTTTACATATTTATTATTTATTATTGAAATGATATACCCAAATACTAACAACATTACTTTTTTGAGACGTCGGTTAAACCAGCTCTAGGAGTTTGGCCTTGAAGCATTCACGAATGGACAGATGGAAAGACGACTATTGTATTTATTATATTCCAAGGATCTTTTTTTGACCTCTAATGTATAAATTTTAAGGCCTACGTGTAAAGAATAATATTTT